CCTTGAAAATGCAGTAGGATTTGTGCTTGACTCCATTGCCAAAACTACACAAGCAATGGAGAGACAGCAGAAAGAACACACACTGATAAATAAAGTAAAAACATTACTTTAAAATAGCAAAATGGTATGCGGGCACAAAGAGACCCTGATATACAACAACACTGGGCTGCAAGAGTCAAAGACTTATGTTAATGACTTAGGCTTGGAGACTTTCTGTGAATGACTACAGGGGACTTCTGAGTACCCCAGGGAATGAGTTGGCTTTGATTCAGCAAAGGATAGTTGTTCTGATTATGATGATGGTTGTCCTAAATAAAGCTGTCACCTTCCTTCACCAATGAAGCATTTTTCCTTTCACTTGCAGCATTAAAACACAACTGTGTGAACACAAAGCCTTTATTACAAAACATATCCATAAAGAAGAGACTTCAGGCTTTGTTCAGACTTCACCTTCACATTTCCTACTTTGTTTAAAGTTAAGCTACACAACTTAGTGTAGCTCAATAAACAACTTAAAAGCTATATAACTGAAAAGTAACAGGCCATCTGAGGGATGTATTTGGTAGCCATGTTGGTCTGAGAGAAAAAGAGATGCAAAACTTTAGAACTCTTGGTTCAGAGATGATACCTTTTATTAGACCAACTAAGAAATTACAAAAAATTATCTTTTTCTGCAGAAGGAAAAAATATTGCCTGTAATTCTTACCAGTTTTTTGGGTTTTTTTTTTAAATCAAGAATTATTTGGTTTCATAACGCCTGAGACCTATTTTGATAATTACTAAAAGAAGGCCAGATTTTAAAGACTGGTCCTTTAAGTTAAGGACTACCTTCACCATTTTCCTACAGTTTGCACTGTGGTGTGGTGTGGTGTGGGTGTTCTTATAACAGAACTAGTTAAAAAAGAAATTTGAAGGATACATTTACACACACACACACACACACACACACACACACACACACACACACACACACACACATCTACATTATAGATTTGCTAAAGCTGTTGGCAGTTTTCAAACTATGAGTTACATACTCTGTCATAGTCTACTCTTCCAGCTACCTTGGTTCCTTTTCTATTTTGAACTCATCATGGTGATAGTCCCTGAACTTGTAAGAAAAAGGCATCCACTGGTAGAGCTGCATGGGCCATTTTTGGAAATAAAAACAAATCCCCCTGTTCTCTAATGTGCTATGGTTGAAACACTGTCTGCCTAAACAACTGGGTCAGACATCTCTAACTAAAACCAGAGGAGTAAAAATCTTAAGCACATATAACGAAATGTATAGTACTAGCTTGTCTTCCTCAGGGTTGAGAAATCTTGCCATATTACTACAAAGTTTCATAGTATTTGTTGATTTTTTTAAAGCCAAAGCTCATGAAGTCATGCAATTACAGAAAAAAGCAGCTTCCAGTCCTAATGGTTGCAGAGGAAAACTTTGACCATTTATGGCTTTAAAAAAACCCTTAGAAAATGTCATTTTGAAAATTTATCTAAGCTTTTGCCATCTGCTGTATATGGCCAAAGCAAAGTAAGTACTTCTTGCATTCATAATTTTTAACTAGATGACTATAAATTACTGCTTTGTGATATACAAGTAAACATTCAAATAATTTCTGTGAAGTACTTTCATACTACAGTTCTTTCACACTTCTATTTTTTTTCCCAGTTCTCACTGAACATTACAGCTATGGCATTAAAATACCCATCGCTGTTGTACAGATGCCTGTTGACTATATTAAAAAAAATGCTGTCTCATATCTTTCCATTTGCCTAGTCTATGAATATTCCTGATTGTGGGTATCCTAACTCCTTTTTATAGAAATCTGGGTGCTGAAGACTAGGTACACAGGCCTCCTAGTTATTAGGCCTCCTAGTTATTTCTATTCCTTGGTTTAGATCTGGAACCTCTCCTTCTGTCACCTCTTACACCTAGAGCTGAGTTCTTTATTTTATTCAGCAGAAAGTCAAATTTTAAGGAGGCATTGAAAGAGTGGTTTTCTAAAGATTTTCCAGTTTAAAACATTGGTTATTTATTTAAGTAAAAACATTTTGTATAAAATGTCTCAAATAAGACTTCTCATGTTCCTATGTTTTATTACAGGTAAGGAGGTAGTGATTCTTAATAGTGTAGATATACTAAAATGTGCAATAATAAACAAACTTAAAATTGCCAGGGTCAGGAACCAAGTCATCCAAGTATAACTGATCTTTTGTATGTTTGGATTTTGTGACTCCTAGGTTAGAGACCCAAAATTATACTGTTCCCTCCAAATCCTAATTTTGAATAGAATCATATAATAGTATGATTCCCATTCATTAAAGGTAGTGCAGCGGGTTATGGATTATTGGTTTACCTTTGAAAATGTTAACTCTTCACACGAACCACTTATATATACAGGACAAGAAATGTACACATATACACACACACACACACACACATATACATATATAAAATTAATGTGAAGTGTAAACATTTTGAAAGGTAAATCAAGAATCCATAACTTACTGCACCAGAGATTAATGAATAGGAATCACACCACCATATATATGCATGCGCACACATGCATGCGCATGCACACACAATATAAAATGACTGGAAGTGGAACTAAATCCCTTCTGAGGGAGGGAGATGGAGGTGAAGGGAAATATAAAATGGAAACTCAGCCATGTTTAATCATCCTAAGATTCTCTTAATATTTTCTTTAAAAGAATCATTGTAAGTGCTGACTTTGATCAAAACTAAATACATCTATCTGATGGTCCTATATCCTTACTGGTATATATGTAGGAATGTCCATACTCACCATACTAAAGTAAATTAAAACTATATATATATTTTTTACAATCCCCACTAATCATAAAGACTTCTTTCCATGATAAGAAATGCATTCACGTTTTATGGAATATTGAGCTAATTTCAATACCTCGAGAGACTTTCTTGTAACATTACAGCTTTCGTATCCCTTCCACAAAAAATGTGTACTTGAGTAAAATAATATATGAATATTATAATATTAGCTTAAGTGACCCACTGTTTACTTTTAAAAATTAAATATATATTTATTATGAACAGATGGTGGCCAAGGAAGGTATCAACTCTGCCTCTTAGCCAGAAGGTCAGGTCATGGCTGAGAGACCAAAGAACAAATGCTGTTTGCTCCTCAGTGCCCATGTAGGATGAGACATTGCTATCTTCTCTATATGTGAAGTTAAATATGAAATAATAACGGAGTTGTTTTTGTAAGATTTTGTACTGACCTGTTAACATTTGTCAAAGACAATTTGTAATGTTTATCTCACTATCCTTGATTTCTTTATATAGTTCCTAATATTTTTCAGCCTATGGAGCTTTCTATTATAATTATTTTTCTTGCTAAAAGCCTAGAGTTATAACTATAACATACAAAAAAATTGTTCAAACATACACACTACTGTTTCTAGAATCCAACAATGTCAGTCTAAAATATCTGATCACTGAAATTGCTATGTGTGTGTCGTATTTCAAGGAACACCAATGCTTCCTCTTAAAATATACAGACTTCCAATTAGTATTTTCGCTTTTTTTTTATTTTCATAATGATAAAACATGAACAATTCCAAAGGTAAACTTAAATATTTTGTTATATTTTGAATTTTTTCAACATATTAACCCTGGGGAAAGCTGCAGAACAAAACCTAAAATCCATGGTATTTCTTTGCATACTTTCTTCCACACATCCCAGTTTATTATTATGCCAAGATTATACCAGATTTCCTATCTGTGAGAACTGTCAAGATAGAAGAGCAGCCTTGCTTTTTGCTTTCAAAGTGCCTCTAGGCCGTAAGGATGTAGCAGAAATGTTACAAGGCCTCAGTTCCCAGCGTGATCTGCTACTGCCATTACACCTTTAAAATTTTTTTAGCTAGTAAATTTAAAATGGAAAAATATATTATGTGCCTTTTGATTATAATTTGATTCATTACTTTTTCCCCTTTAAGCTGAGTTGCATCTTTTTATAAACTACTAGCTACATAGTTGTTTCTCATTAAGGTTTTGTGATGACTACTGTCTTTATTTTGTAATACTGCATTGTAATACTGTTCATTTGTTTAAAGGAGAAGAGTATGGTTTAAAACATGATGGATAAACTACTTTAAATAGTAAATGATACATGCACTTAAATATAATGTGCATGTGTGCCTAACAAATTTTCTGTATATCTAAAATATATTACCAATATCAAGTCAAATATAGTGGAGAGTTTCTGAACCAAGAATTGGAACTTTAAATCCTGAAGATTTAAACTGGTAGAATAACAGTGCAAAAAAGATTTTTAAAAGATTCAATAGAAGGCAGCTGTCTGAACTGTTAACTAATTTAATGGTAATTCACCTTACTATTTATTTTTTAAAGGGATGTCTTGTCGCTGTTTACCTACAAGGCATATAATGTTTTATAAGTAATACAAATTCATCTTTACATAATCAATTAATAATACCTAATGGCATATTTTCATAATAATTTTATTTTCTCTTATTAGTTTTTTAAACTTTGTTTTGAATCACAAAATCCATTAAACTTGAATCTTCACAGAAATTGGTAAAGAAATTACACCCTTTACCTTACATACTTCACACGTTATAATTGTTAATGTTCTACTTTTTTGTATGCATACACATTTGTGTGTGTTTACTTGTGAGAGAAGTGTATAAACATATGTATATAGTACATATAAATTAAACACACTGTATCTATAGTATGTGTTCACACGCTGTATATAAAAGAATGTGTTAAGTATTATGTAATTATGGAAAACTTACTTTTTTAGGGCTGAAAACAAGAATAATTCAGACAAGAGGTATTTTTTTAATAGGAAAAACTGGCTTGTTGCCATTAATTTAGAACCCACAAAATAGTAATAAATGACCACTATTAGAAAAATGATTCATTCCAACTTCAGAAACAACCCTGTTTATGTTTTTAATAACTGCAAAGTGATAGCAGTATCATTTCTTACCTGGTCCTTAATTTCAAGCTCCCTTATAGTTTTTGTTCTGTACTCTCTGAGCTCCTTTTCTGCCTCATCCTTCTTCATTTTGCTTTGATTCAACTGATATCGCATTTCTCCGCACACCTGTTAGATTGCACAGAAAACATGATCTGTAGCTTGTGGAACTAATGTGCAATGTTTGCATTTAGATCTTTTGGTGCCCCCTAGAGGCCATTTATTTCCAATGTATTTCAATTTACTGATATTTTAAGACTACATATGGTAACTGTTATAACCAAAGGGGTGAATCCACATCCTCTCTATACTAATTAACTTGGAAATAGGCATTACCTGCTAGATTCAATTATATCTGGATCAAGATTTGTTAAGTATAAATATCTATGCTGCAAATACATGTGCTGCTAAATACATTTAGAGTGGAGTTTTTCATTTTGGGGAGATTTCTTTTTTAAATTAAAAGAAATTCTTTTACAGTACTTCAAATACTAAACATTAAAGTCAGTCATATTTTCATGTAACAGAGAGATTTCTTATCTTGCCTATTTTTCTGCTAGTACGAATAAAACTTTTAGATTGCAACGTAATTATTTTCAAACTTGAAGTGAAATATTACATTCTTATCCGCAGACTGAAAATAAATTACTTAACTGTAGCACTAAACTAAAATGTCTACTTTGACCATGAATAAGCCAACAGAGAAACACCAAAAGAGCTTGCTCTAGGTGGGAAAAACTGGGAGAAAGGTAACTTTCATAAAGGTAACGAATACTGTTCTGGATACTGGTGTTTTTGAGTTTAAATTTTTTGGGATTTTCTGCCCAATTCTCTGTTGACAAGGAAGAGATTTTTGACAGGCTCTTTAGCTCTCCTTCACCATCCAAGCCAACCATCCTCAATTTGTATGATCATTTTAGGTTAAGAATTCAACCTTAATTATACACGCAAGTGCTTAATCCCCCAGGTAGATTAAATTTACTCTCTCCCTGTCCTGCAGAGGTAGGAGCTGCCCTTTGTTTCATGTCAGTCCATCTCTGTCCTCCTCATCCCTCCCTATCTTCTGTTCTTATCCAAACGCATTTCCTCCTTCCCTATTTTCTTCCATAAATTTCTCTCCTTTTTCCCCACATTCTCCTCTGTCGCTGCTACCCAAATGCCACAGAATCCTCAGTCTTCTCCTGCCCATCTCATTCTCCTTTCTCTTTCCAGTTTCTTGTCTAGTTTTCTAGGCAAGAAGGATCCTCCTACATAGACCCTATCTTCTATAAGGACAGGTTGGCTGAAGTCATTTTGGAGAGACTGCCTGTCTTTAGAAACAGCTGCCTTCCTTACAAATGCAAAGCATTTAGGAAAACGGTGGCTATATTCTCTGACATCACTTTACAATTGAGTACCATTTAAAATAGTGAGAAATAATGGTGTTTTCAACAAACAGCAAAAATTCACAAGCTTGATACCTAAAACAGAGATCTCATGATAGTTTTAAATACCTAATACGCAAAACTGAGACTTGTAACTGTTTACTTCCTCCCCTTTTCTCTCATAGACAGAATATAAGATGGGGTTCTCTCTCTTTTCCCTTCATGAAGGGGAAAATTACTGTCACCCAACCCATCTCCATGTGTAGCACAGATAAAACAGAACAAAGGAACCAGCTGTTAGAGCTGCATGAATAACTTATTTTTCAGTTTGCCAACAGCTCCAAAAAATAAAGGGAAAAAGAATAAGTTTGGATCAACCCCAGATTGAATAAACCCAAATAAAATGTTACAGTCAATTTCAAACATTTTGCCCCGTCTGTTATTTTATACACTTTTTTAAAAATTAAAAATCAAATTATTTGGAAACCAAGAGCTAGACTTAATATAGAACTTAGATACTACTCCCAAAAAACAAGGAGGAGATAATGTGATAGCGTTCTTATGCTATAGCTCAGTGGTTAATATGCTCATCTAGAATATGGAAAACTCAGGTTCAAAACCGTTTTCTTCCTTCTACTGCTTCTCATTCTTGGTTTTGTAAGGGAAGTCTAGGCCCTTTGTAAATCTAGCCTGAATATTTTTGTTTTGGAAATACAAACATTAAATATTTTAACATTTCTAAATTGTTACTTTTGGTTTAGATAATTTGGGCCCAAATGTGTAAATAATTATGCCTGTCCAAAACTATATTTTTCAAGCAAAAGTTGTTCATCAAAAGAATTGTAACCAGTACTATAAGAAGGAACAGTGACAGGAGTATGAGGTGAGGAAAGGCCGCCCAAAAGCCTGTGCCAAATTGCCCCCTCCTAGTGATCACAGTACATTGCTACAAGAAAAATCTATAACTGGCTGCTGCAAGGCCCTCTTTAGCCTTGGGTTAGAGTCCTGCAATGGGAGTGAAATACTACTGGGACATGTCAGACGTGCCAACATGTTAACAGGATCAGGAAAAAATAAACTGTATTGAAGACAAGACTAGACAAAAAATGGCTTGGTGGAATTTGTGGGAACAAATTAAATTTATTTTTTCCCCTAGTAATATGAAAAAAAATGATTGCATTTGAGCTCAGAACCACTGCATCAAACATTTGTCTCTGGTATGAGATCAGGTAGGATATAAAAAGAGCAGGATAAAATACACAAAGTAAAACACAGGAATGAGTGGGAGCAAGAAAGGTTTCTACAGGCCAGGTTAGAAACTAGACTAAATGCATAATGCTGTGCAGAGCACTACAGAGTCAAACAGAATAGGATTCACATTATTGTCCTATAACTATCTCCCGTATCATCAAGAGTATCATTAATTAAATGCTGATTGCAGAATTTCAAACAGTGATTAAGAACAGGCTAAGAAACACCCCCCCCCCCCCTGGGGTGATCTGCCTGCTAAAAGAAATTAATCTCTCTACTTCTAAACTTGTAAATTTTGTTTAAAAATCTGAGACATACATTTACCATCTTTCCAAATATTCTTTAAAAAGAATAAACAGTGAAAACCATAAGAGATTACCATGTGATGTTTCAAACCACTCTAACTTGCAAAATGTCTCTACCTTATTAATCTCCATCTCCCGAGAAGTAAATTGATTTTGGGTTTCCTCTAGTTGGTTAGCTATTAAGTTCTTTTCTCTTGTAATTCTCTCTAACTGTGCTTCATGTGTGGCCACATTCTGAGACAGAACCATCACCTAAAAAAAAAAAAAAAAAAAAAAAAGATTGAATGCATAGTGAAGAGATTCAGCCTAGAACCAATACCCAAAACTTCATTTTAAGTCAATGGGAATTTTGGCAAAGCAGGAAGTGACCAGGATCACACCCTGAATAAGGATTACATAATTTGATCCATAGTGAGTTGTAACGATATTATTTTGGAGTGATTCAAACTGCAATATCCATTCGGAATATATTCAGTTAACTACACCATTCTAGTACTTGTTAATACACATAATGTTAGGAACTCAAATGTCACTGCAAATAAAGATCTTAAATTAATTCTGAAACATCCCACCATCGTAAAACAAACCAAGATGCAATGTAGCAATAACCAAGTAAATGCAGGATGTTCTAAAAGTATAGTTATTTTATGACTTCATATTTCAAGCAAATTGAGCTGAAATTTTGCTGAACGATGAAAAATATACATAACAATAAAACAAAGATGTTTGCCCTTGAGCTGTTTAGTCCTTAAGCTGGCTAACATAACTGGAAATAATGGTGCCTGACAGTTCTAGGTTAACTTTACAGGAAGTCGAAACTGAATTTAAGGGCTTACGTACAATTACACTACTGTAGAGCCATTATGTATACACCTGTTTTATGGACCCATGCCAATTTGTTCCTCTAAAACAAATCGCTTGTTAAATGAACTAATAAAGAATTCATAGGGAGATAAATATAATATAGCGCAAAAAAAACCCCTTTCCTGGCTTTTTTGTTTGTTATCAAAATAAGTACTGCATTTCACACTTACCACTAATACATGTGTAAAATCTTATTTTCCTACAAAGATAAATCTAATTACCAACTACAGGATCAGCATAGTAATAATTTCACAGTTTTACCAAATACTGTACAATCACAAGCGTATCACAATATTATCATTAGACAATGTTTTAATGGGTCTAAAGATCACATTATGAGACTGAAGCCCTCAGAGAAACAAACATTAAGACGTAATTTCAGGGGTGATAACAATATATAGCAATGTACTGGTTTGAGGAACTAAACTGTGATAGTAGTGAAGAATATATTTTTATTTTTTGAGTTAGAGATATTTATGTTGCATGAATTCATACTGCCAAAATAGATCTGCAGGCATGCAGTGACATCTGTAGTAAGTACTACTTCCTGTAGATAAACTTGTCCTTTACAATCAGTCACTTTTGATACCTCTGTGTTTCCAGTGCAATATAAGTACACCTTCAGTTATGGCTTGGCAACTGATTTTTGATGGTTATGTAGGACAGGTTTGCAGTTTATTGACTACAGCATTGTACACTTAATGCCTGTTCCATTACCATATTTTCCACGCTCATATTTCCCACCATGTACCAGAAAATGCACCTATAGCACTCCCATCCTTATACTACCCCAGTGATTCTCTAGTAATGTCAAAACTGGAACCCAAATTGCCCTCAACTTTGGTTTTTAATACTCCAGTGATTACTTGTGGCCTACTTCACTGAGATTCTCTCACTACTCATCTTACTGTTCCTTCCCTACCGCACCAAACTCCTCCGTCAGGTTTCACAATTTCACTGCTGTTAGTGAGAGAATTTTTTTCTTTTCACCTTCTCTCATGTGGAAATAACTTATTATGATTTATTATTCATATTCCAGCAGAACCTAAAGGTGCCACCTAAGATCATGGCAGAATAAACACTAAGACTGCATCCACACAAGTGTGGATGTTTGGTTTCTCCAGGGACAACTAGCAACAGCAGACCTTGTACCACCGCTAGTTGTCTCCGTGGCTCCAGCTGGCCAGGCTCTGGTTTTGAGCAGTGTGTGCTGTCACTGTGAGCACAGCTTTGCTTTTTTTTTTTTTCCCTTTCTTTTGCCTCCAAGAGCTTATAAATGCGAATAAAAGGTGAGAAACTGAGGTTGCTTTAAGTCCCATTTTTACAGCTGTGCAAGGGAAAAAAAAGACTTATTAAGGTCATAATAGGGATGGAAAGGTATGCAATCTTATAATTAAATACTTTAATATAAAGCTGACACTGGCAGCCATAGTTCTGGCTTTCCTAATCTTTAAGTGCTTGACTTTGCAACCTTACTAATGTTCCTTGAATGCATGATGATGACCTGTTGTCTTCTTTCTAGTATTACTTTTAACTTTTGAGGCTATTTTAATAAATGAAATATGAAAATATTACACAAACTGAAGTTATATTGTACCTTATCAAGTGTATCAAGCTACCAATCACTTAGTATGTATCCAACCTGTCATCCATCCCTACTAATGGTTCAAATGATTACATAAGCTAATTATTTTCTAACATTTTGATGTGTAAATTTAACACTTGTTTACTGAAGTATTGCCTGAATATTCTTTTCTTGCATAAAAAGCCATTACTTATTGTTTCAGAGAAGTATTGGATGTTCTTAATCTACCACCACCAGCACCCTACCCCTGCAATAACATAATAATAAATAGGATTACTGTTGATGCCAAGTCTTCCCTTTCTTTCTTCATTTCTTCCCGCAGTGCTTCTTTTTCACCATCTCGCTTATCTAGTTGAGAGGCTAGCTCCCTTCCAAGGCGATCTTTCTGTCTTTCCATCTCACTTTTCAGTTGATCACACTGGAGTAGAGCCTAGGAAAAAATATTTTATGAAACTCAAATTGAAAAGAAAAAAAAAAATGTATGGTCTAAGGTAAAAAACAATCATCCTTCCAAAATGAGGAATTCATTATAAATTATTCTAATGCTTTTAGAGAAATCATTTTACTTATAAAAAGGGTTTTATGCATGTACACAGATGCCTCTACATATACAGCAGAATATAAGAGCGTTTATACACATGCTCCAGGAGAGGGTGAGGGGAGCTTTAATTATTAGAGCAGCTCCGAGAGCCACTTTAATTAAAGCACCTGGAGCATCACGTGTATCAATGTCCCTGCAATGAAAAATGGCAGTGAGGGCACTTTAACTGAAGCTTGTCGAACAAGCTTAGTTAAAGCACCCCGCCACCATTTTTCAGTGTGGGGATGCTGATATGCAATGCTGGAGTCTTCTGGAGCATGCTAATTGCCATGCTCCAGCAGACTTGTTTACTGTATGTGTATAGGTGCCCTAAGAAACTAAAATAGGGTTGACAGACACGAGACCATGCATACATGCACAAAAATATGTTTGACAGCTAAAGATTACACATCTACAGACAACTTGGTTCTCAAATGTGGTTCCTATTGTGTTCACAGTTCCTGGAATCTATCAGTTATTTTTTCTGTATAGATTAGCAACTTGTTTTTGACAAGGGAATGTGACCTGCACTTAAAAATCCTAGGTATCTCTCACTCAAGAAGTGCAAAGAAAAATGCCCTCCATTACCCAATTCTTATGAACACTGAAAGCATGGTTGCCTTCAATACCACACATCAGAAAAATGTACTGTCAGCACTGTTCTTTGCCTGAAGGATATAATATAGGGTACAAAAGGTTATATTGCCAGAGAAGGAATTTGACAAAGTAGAGGCAATTATTCTTTTCTTCTGACATTCAGATTTTTCAAATGATGCCAAAGAGTGAATTTATCTATTTCCAGATTCTTGCTGGAAATACTGCTCAACTGAGTTCACCTAGAACATTAGAGTTCAGGTCCCACCACTCCTAGAGGACAGCAAAAAACCTGTATTTCTCTTGTCCAAGCTGCATTGTCCAGAGACAGTGGACAAACGGATGTTGTTAAACAAACATGCGTACTGCGTCAGGTCAGGTACCGAGTTAAAGTCAATTGGAAAAAAAATCTCCATTTTATAATCAAGTCCCTCTGACCAGTGAATAGGAATCCACAGGTCAAAACGGATGATTTAGCTCACCTATCCCTACAGGCTTATGCAGACAGTATAGCTGCAGCGTAACAACTGCTGTCTGGTTTGGAGCAACAGCCCTCTCTCCCTTTGTGAAGCTGATCCAAGCGCATGCTTGTCCATATCCTAGTTCTAGTTTCACTGACATTCTGTATATTTAAGCCTCAGTATAGTCTACTTCAAGAAATTCAAAATGAAGCTCATGTTGGACTACTTTATTTATATTTCCTAGTAATGTAGTTTTCCAAATGATACTCTGTTTGACTAAAGGAAAAAAAAAATACAGTGCCTCCCATGTGTTTCCTTTGTGCTGGGTTGTGCAAGACAGATGAAAGCTACACCATTTAATTCTCTCTCAAGAGGGGAAGTCTCCACAAGTCCACCCTGTGGGATGCTAGACATCTGGGGAGTAGCTCTCATCTCTAGAGAAAAGTAATCTAAGATCAAATCAGACTGTTAACATCAGTTCTTTTCTATAGAAATCTAACCCTTGGGCAACGCTAAAATGCAAACAACAATGAACATCTGCCCTCATGTCCTCACCTTTTGACAGAGACATGATTGTAACAGCACTACGCTACATTTCAAGAAGGAATTTTTATTTGATTAAACTGCTGCTGTTTTTGCAAGGAGGATCAGTAGTTCAAACTATTGCTCCTTTAGCAAGTCAATGTTTAAAATCCATCTCCCAGGTTTGCTTCAACCTGGGAAGCTTTTCATTACCAATTCCCCTATAAAGACTAAGCATTACAGGCCAAGAGGTTGCAAGCAACAGAAGCAAAAAACAGCAAGGATACATATTTCCAAAGAATGAGCACCATGTACCCTGTTTTTCATAAACTAAATGGAACTGATAGTTATCATAATATATTTGTCCTTTAAAAGCCAAATCCTACTTGCCTTGTCTACACAAATTTTCTCTCTATATTCAATGAGATACATTTGCCCCTATGAATGATGCACTTGGCTCTTTCTTTTCTGCATTTACTCAAGAATATACAGGATGAAGTAGTAAAATGCTTTCCCGGTGTAAGTGAAAGAGGAAAAAAAAGGGGAGTTTTGTTTGTGTTTTTTCACCTGAAGGGAGAGGAAGCTTGTAATATGGAGATGTAATAAAGGGCATGGGGAATATGGACCCCCAGCCACTGATCGTTCCAGATGTACCTGTGTACCTCATTATTACCAGTGAGGGCTTCCAGCAGACAACCTGCCATTCATTTACTTACATTCCTTTTACTGGATTGTCAGGAATTTATAGCACTGTTATATCTTATTAGTATTTAGGTCAGTATTGATTAGTCTTACAGAGCTTTATCAAACGAGAACATGTTTTTTATGTTAAACTGAATATGAAGCATAGGGCTAGATTAAGATGAAATTTATGGTTGGTGGGCTTTTTTTTTTTTCCAAGTCAGACAAAGTGAAACAAAGGGAAAATTAACAGTTATCATACAATAGGAGGTCTGAGGACAACAATCATTTAATACTCTCCTCAGCAGGAGGGATTTTTGAGGTATGTATTTCTAGAATTGTGCTCACAAAACAGTGAACACTGCTGTTATACAAATAGGGAAACCAATAATCTGTTTAAAATTTTAATAACAAAGTCAAAAAATTAGGGGCCAGATCCTCTTCCACCTATTGCTGCCTAAGTGAACCTAGGCACCAAATGTGATCCTATTCCACTCTGCTTGAGTCCTGGAAAAAACCAGTTAATGCAAAAGGTGGATGGGTCTTCTTCCTGATTGCTGGTTTTGGGAACTCTGCCTTAAAGCTTAGTTTATGGCAGGTTTCAAAAACTTGTGCATTAACATTTTTTCCAAGGACTCAAGATGGGTGGAATAGAATCACACCTAGGTGTCCAAGTCCCTACAAGTACCTAAAAGGCAAAATAGAATCTGCTCCTAGGTATCTTAGTCATTCACCGGTAAATTCTTCAGATGACAACTGCTAAATATTTTACAGCTAGATTTTCAAAGCTATTTATGCACCTAAAAAGTTGGGTAGATACACAGTGATAAAACAAAAGTGCCTAATTAACTGATTTAGATGAAACTTTAAATACACACATACCATTGAGCCTTTAAATCCTGGTCAATTAACAGTTAATGGCAATTAAGCTAAGTGCTAATGTTAAAATGCTACTCCTCTATAGCAAAGCAACTGTTGAGACTTTTTCCTTCCCATCATAATTTCTCCACTTTTTCCTTTGGACTTGTAATTTTAGGGAAAGATAAAATAGCGTTTATAGTGTAGCATAAGTCACATCAACAACCAATACTCCATTAACCAGTGGAACCGTATAATTTATATTCTCAAATTTAGTAGTAATTCACTAATTACACAGTAGATGGCACTGTATATCAATATAATGATTTCATTTACAATAAAGTGAAGCAAGTACTTAATTAGTTTTAATATAAGCATTAGACTAGAAATTAAAATTTGCCATTATCATTACTGCCCAAGAGTTCACAGGCATATAGCATTTTACATCTTTAAAGCTATACATATATTAACTATTTAATCCTTACAACACTCCTATGAAACAGTTAAATACTACTTGTAGGCAGTAACAGGCAATATTTTCAAAAGCAGCACAGTGATGTATGCATACTAGGTTATCAACTAAATATGTAACTACAGTCCTACAGCACTTAGATGCTTTTGAAAATCCAACCTGATAATTTTCATTTGGGCTATGAAACTGAGTTAAGTGATTTGTCTCATGGCCTATCAGTCTGAGAACATGGATTAGAACTCAAAAGTTCAAGTCCCAGCTTCAGAACACTAAGGATACATCTGTATGGCAAAAGGCACAGCTATTCTGAAACACTGGCACTCTAAGACGTACCACATTTAGTCTGCACAAACGAGCAGCAATATGGAATGTGCACCTATACATTCAGGTGACAGGCAAAGTCGATAAGCACCTCCAGAACATCATATTAATCTGGATACAAGCTAACACATGCAGTGACAAGCTAATACATGGTATGTTTCAGCATGAAGTTGCTTGTGCCACACAGATATATCTTTTAAGACAAGCCTTCCACTCCTCCTTCTCTTAACAGACTTATAATGGATATCACAAAACAGAACACGTTAAATGATCTTTCATTTCAAGTCAGTTACACAATTTAGACATGGACTAGTGTTTTACAGTCCAGTAGAATTATTTCCTTATTGGTGGAAACAAGTGTAATCAACATTTGTGGTAGTTAGGAATACTGAAATCCCTAACCATCTTCTTGAAGAAGATACCTTAGTCTTTTCTAAGTTGGCTTCTTCTCCCATTTGCACAGCTTGTTTCACTTGTTCATAGGCACTAGATTCCCTTTGCTGCATCTCTCTCAGGTGCTTTCTCACTGAAACAAGTGCACCCATTAAGTCATCTCTTTCTCTGCATTGGCAAAAGAAACCATGGAAAAAGAAATATAAAACATTAATGGACTGAAAACATCAGGGTTACAAGTAGAGTTAGATGAAAATCAGCATTCATTTGTATTTAGTTTTATAGATACAGTAGTGCCAGCTCAGCACATATCAAAGTCTAATGTGTTAGCTGACCTGTCTTTAAAAGTACGGAATTAAAGAAGCTGCCAGGAATAATGGCAAGGTTCATATCAGCAAAGTACCCAGGTTGATTAGTAATCAAACAAAAGTACAAGGTCAATGGTAATCTTCAGAAAAAAGGCCCAATCAAAATTTGACACAAATGATTAAGAATATTTTCTACATTATATTTAAAGTAAAACTACACTGACTCATAGTATTTCAGATAGTTAAACACTATCTATGACCCTTTGTATTCTGCCATGAACTAGATCTGAGTTCAACTACAAGATTTCTGAATTCTGCACCACTATAATCTCCTCAACCAAAATTTAGAAATGTAGTTTTTTTTATTAAAAAGGAAGCTGAATACTATGGGTACTGAGTCAATGCAATGGCTCCCCTATTCTTTTCTTTATTTTTTTTATGGACCAAATTTTCACATTGATAATGTATAAGTGGCTCCCATATTCTTTTCTTTATTTTTTTAATGGACCAAATTTTCACATTGATAATGTATAATTACATCAAAGAATTTGTTTTGAATGCAGCTATAGGCTTTGGCTCTTTTAGCACATGGGACAGCATGAGAAGCCTCTTGGATTGTGCAATAATCTCACATTTGCTATATGTACTGTATAAACTACATAGTAAAAAAAAAATCCCCACCATTACTGGGTATGGAAGTTACATAATCACATTTCATAGCTTTAATGAGTTTCGGGCATATCACTCCATTTGGTTCCATTGAAATTCTCACTCTGTGTTTCTTCTATGCAGTGAAATACTTAAATATCATTGACTGCACTGGATTCAAGTGGGACTTTTCTGAGTTACACCAGATGAGGATTTGGCTCCAAGACTTCAAAATGTCACTTCTACGTATTAATAACACTAAGAAGAATGGGTGAGCTCAAACATCTTGTTTCAAGCTGCCCATACTTGGAAAATCAATAACATATTGATTTAAGTTGTGCGCATATTCACAGATTTCCTTTTAAATAAAGCCAGAATAAAAATTCAAACGAGAACTTGGATTCTAATGTGCAATTTTTCAGTGAAGAGTATATTGCTTGGCAAGCATTCTGGCCCTAGATACAGGAAACACTTGGTTTCCCTTTCAGTACCTATGACATACCTGATGCTGACATAAAATATTCATCTGATAAACTACATTTACCTTCAACCATCTCACTTGCATCTCAACCACTAACTCACCTCTACTGGGACTAATACCTCACAACTCTTGAGTAACTTCAAATTTCTGAGAACAGATAATTTTGTAATGGCTGGCTAGCAGAGATCCTGTTTGAACAAATCAATGTTTTAATGTGCTGGGATTTTCTGTATTAATAATTATATATCAAAGCTCTTTGCACCTTGGTAAGTTTTTTATTATTATTTAAATCTAAATAAATAAAACCAGCCACTTTTTTTAAATTGGACAAAACTTCTCACTTAGATTACTCTAGGTTGAGGTGAAGCAAGCAAAGTCCTCTATCCGAGACCAGTGACATGTTAAAGGTCCAAATCAGTGAAAAGAAGAATTTAAACATTTATAGAAATAAGAAAAAAAAATAAGACAACTGTGTTTCCAAAATTCAAGTCCTCATTAGAACCCAAAGAATCGAACAAAAGGGATCAAAGATGAATGCTAGAGACAATGAAAGGAAGAAGCTATACTGAAGGTGATGGTTACCATGCTTACAAAAAACTACTGAAATGCTGTTGGAATTGAAATAAGTGACAAAACTCCCATGGGTGAAGATTTGACTCTGTATTTTTCCATTTTTAAATCAGAAATCCCAACAAAATTCTCCTACAGCACTATAACTTGAACTCAAAATAATAATTTTCTTGTCGAACTATTATAGTCTTAGGTTAGAGTTTAAGCTAAAACAACCATTATTAATAATTGATATTTCCTCCTAAAAATAACTGCACTTTAAATTAAAATAAACCTACTTTGTTAACCTTTCAATGGTCTGCATGTGGACATTGGAATGAGTCTGGGAAAGAACAGCTTCGTGTTGTGCACATTTCAGACAAAGACCACCAACCCGGGTTAAATTACTTGATGCAATAAGTGAATCTTGGTGCTTTAATCTTCCTTTCAGATCTTCACAATTTTTTTGCGATTCAGATAGATCTTTTCTAGAAAGGAAAAAAAAAATTATTGTAAAGAAACAAGTGTTACCATATTCATTAAAATAATGTTACATACCGCATTCTATATTTAATTGAGGAAAAATAAACAAATAGTACAACAAAGGGATCTCTTACTAATTTATATCATTTTAAACCACTTGACACTGCATGGCAGATTCACTTTTTAATAACAAAAGTGGTACTGTCACCTCAAAACTGAACGATGCACAAACCCCAACTATATCACTCCCCGTCTTTTTTCTTGTCAAAGACAGGGAAGTTATCAGCAGACTCAGTTGAAAATCATGGTTTTCCAAAATATCGCTTTACCAAAGAATAAGCTGTTTGCTAGTATGTGAAGGAGACAGGGAATGCAGCCTATCAATGGCAAGGATATCTAAGATCTCTCAAGATGGGGAAAATCCAGTGAATCTGTATTCTGCATTCCCCTTAAGAGTGATGTCATTACCTCCTTGCCTGCCCCCTACCTGTGGATATGAATCAGCAGCAATATGGCATCATGTTTCACATGTTCCCTGCTACAAATTCTGCAATGTTCAGCACATTGGCCATGATACAGCAGATCTTAAGTTAAGCATAAGAATAGTCCTATCAAAGTCAAAAAAACTACTCGCATGCATAACTTTAAGCAAATGCTTAAGTGCTTTTCTGGATCACAGCCAGGCTACTTAGATCTTGAAAGATCAAGTGACCAAGGAAAAAAAAACAAACCTCTGTTAAGCAGGTACCTGCATTCAAGCACTGGCAGAAGCTTTTAAATAATTTTATTTTTGACTTTATGATTTCTGCACTTTTGCACCTCAAGCCAGGGAACAAGCAGCAGTCTTAGCTGCAATTTTAAGTTCTGATTCACTGCACTAGCAGAGTTAGCTGTTCTCTGAAGGTTTCTATGGTTGTAGGGTACATATTTCAATTGGCCACCCCACCAATACCTCAACCCCACACAAATTAAAATATTTCTTCTTATAAAATATTTTTGAACTTCATGTATTTGTTATTTATTTAAAAAACAACAAAATTAAAATATCTACTCTTAGCTACTTAACATTATCTATTTAAGATATAAAGCTTGTGGTATGAGATCCCCATTGAATTAATAGAACAACTTTATCCTGTTCTTTTTTTTTTTTTCTTAAAGTAAACCAGCCTAGATTATCAAAATGGAAAGTTTTGTGCCTTTATGGAATCATCCTACAGCAATCAAAATTAAATTCTATAGGTTTTTTTAAAGAGCAATTTCTAAAGGAATACAAAAAAAATCCATGTTTTATTATATGTAAAGAAAACTTTTCCATAAGAGTCTTGTAATTAGGTTGTTTTAAAATTACCTTTTAAACTATACCTCAGAAACATCTGTTTGTACCTGAAAAATAAATAACTACTACACATTTACCCGATTACTATTTTTAAAGCTTCTTTTCAAGAAGCATTCAGACCAACAGCACCACTTTTATAATTATTGACAAGTAATTAAAAAAATAATCCTTTCAATTTACCTCAGTGATTGTACTTGAGCTTCAAATGCATCAGTCCTTTCTTGATAGAGAAGGTTTAGCTTCTCCTTTAGAAAAAGATATAGAAAAAAGTTGGTGTGGCTTTTCTTTTCTTCACATCTGTATTCTTTTCGCTCTTTATAAATAAATCCAGATATTAGAAATATTTACTTATTTCCTCTGAAGATAAGAAGGTATTCAAAACAAAGTATTTGATTAAAAAAATCCACCTATTTTAATGTTGTTGCAACTCACTGTGTACAGACACTCATTTCTACAAAAAAGTGTCTCTGGTAGAAAAATAGCACAGGAGCTGGACTGTATAATCAAAGCGAACAAAGATAGTCATCTTTCACATGGTATCCTATGTTGCTGGCATAAATGAGTAACAAGAAATAATTTTGCAGAATCTAAATGCCATTTAGATCTACTGAACGCATAAATACAGAGAGAGGTTACTTGACTGATCACAACAGAGACAGAATGTGCTAATTAGATAACAGAACAATACCATACCACAGTTTAGTACAGGGAATGAAGAATATATTGTCAAATTAAAGTGACAGAGTAGGTACTTCCCCATGCAGAAGAGATAATCCAGAGGCACAACACAGAACTTGCACCTTGGGGGAAGGGGATAGGATTACACTAGCTTTGCACCTTTCTGAGTCTGTGCTGCTTCAGGGACTGGACTAATGCTTAGCATGCAAGATAGCACTAGAGGGCTGCGTAAGGCATAGAAACCTGCTGCTCAGACTCTCCAGTGCTATGCACTGTAACTCCATTCCTTTCACATTTCCTCTCTCTCATTTGTCGAGCCTCATCTCTTGCATGCCAAGTGTTAAGTTGTCTTGTATATCACCTTTAACTGGAAAAAATATATATATTATGGGATGAAGAGCCTCAAGGGATAAATATTGACCTCAGAGGTTAGGGGTTCAGTCAACCAAGTCTCCTCCAAGACTCTCAGGAGGTTAATCATCATAAATGTCAACAAAAGAGAGGAACACTAGAAGCCAATTCCGCTATACAAAAAATACCAACCAATTCTAGCTGCCATTTTTCTATTTCTGCAGTTGCTGTTGAGATTAAGACATGGTCTTTGTCATGTGATGATCGTGATTTAGCAGGCTGATGTACCCTAGAATCATCACCTCCTATAGGCCAGGACTTCTGAGTATTTGCCTGAAATACAATGTTAAAGCTTCAATTTAATCACAATATCTTTTTATTATCGATTAAATAATAGCTAATAAATAAAGTTATTATTGTGTTCAATTAAAAAAAATGCAGAAAGTTACAATTTATAGCCCAATAATAGAAGAATCTGGTTGGGCCTCTGGAGTGAAGAAACTAATGTGGAGAACCAAAATCATGTACAGTTATCCCATATCATTAAAAAAAAATGTATCAGACTTACTGAGGCATCCAGAAGCGTTTGTTCTCTCAAAGTCTGCTCCACCGTTAGAGTTTTCAATTCCTCATGGAGTTTCTCATTTTCAAGCACCACAACTTGTATCCGACCTTTCATTCCAGATAATTCCTCCTACAAAATTAAAGAATACTATTGTTTAATACTTTTTGTGACTATATATCACACCAAAAGGCCTTATTGTTCATTTTTAGTCTTATTGGACATAATAAGCATATTTTGTAATGGTCTGCAAGATAATGTTGGTTGGATAATCATTTAAGTAGAAAAAGTTACACAAGTGTTTCAATTTTATTATTAATTAATCAATAATTAATATTAGGAAGAACTTTCTAACTCTGGGAGTACTTAAGCACTAGAACAGATATCAGAGGTTGCAGAAACTCCATTATTCAAGGTGTGTAAGTAGTGGAGTTAAGAGCACTTGACTGGGATGGTTCAGGAAGGGATACTTCTGCCTCGAGCAGGTGGTTGAACTCAATGACTTCCCAAGGAACCTTCAAGTCCAATTTTTCCATTTAAATAAGAAAGTGGAAGCTTTCTTCTTTAGACATATTTAAATCAATAAAAGTCCCCTGATAAGGCCTATTTTAAAAACAACATAATGTCCTGACTTATGTTAAGATTTGTTACCTCCTGAACTGCATTTACTTCAGTTCTCATTGGTACAGTATTTATAATCATAAAGCTGAGACTGGAAAGCAGCTCACACAAAACTCTTGGGGTACAGTACAAACATCCATTTGGAGCCATTTCAGAAATGGATGGGGAGCTTCTGCTCTGAACCATGCAGCAGCCGTTAGCAAATATAGGTCCAATTTTAATGTTGTCTCATTGAAGATTAAAGTTGGAGCAGTGTTGCTACATTTGTATCGTTCCCAGGTTATGCATGTGCAGCTGTTATAAGTAACAGACGAACCTGCATTTCTGATCAGTAATTCCCCTTTAGAAGCAGCTCCAAATGGATGTTTGTCCATACCCTTACTGAATTGACGGTGGGATATTTCTGGTATCTGGGAGTTAATGAGCGAAGGATGTTTCAAAATACCTTGCAAAACTTCACTTCTGCTTCTAAGTGGTTAATGTATTGAGACTGATCAGTAATGATAGGAACAAGATCACACAGGCCAGGCGAACTCTGATCTGCAGCTTCTGAAGTTCCCTAGGGGAAATAAATTAAGAATAGTAAGTATTTACTTTTCATGACCTTTCTCTTCGCAGAGAAAGATGCTTCCACTAACATAATCCAGTTCATATTTAATATAATTTTGTGAATTTAAACAGAAAATGCAAAGGTGACACTAGTGTCAAGCAGAACAGTTACTTGATTAAAAAAGCATACCAAAAGCAGGAACGTATTGTATCTACTGATTCATTTGCAAATGCAATTATACTACTATCCACTACAGGCCTCATTTTCTTATCTTCCACATGAAATATACATGCAAACCTCATGAATTTTAATGAGAGCTGTATGAATACATCAGGAGACATGCTTCCAATATCAATCGTCAATTATTGCTGTATAAACCTGAGTACAGTATTGATTGTAGAAATGTAGTGAAATTTTTATTAGATACTACCCATATTAAAGAACTTCACCATAGGGAGACATAATATTGATTCACAGAAGTTTCATAAACCGGTTTGACCTAAATCAGTTAAGACTGATACTACATTCAACCAGGTTTATCTTAAACCAGTTTCAGCCATTTTGAAATTAGTTTATGTGCACTGACTGTTTGTTCTGTTAAAGGTTTAAACCAGTTTCTGATCCCTTAAACCTGTTTGTGTGTAATGTCTGTCCCTAGCATAAATTATAGATGTATTACTAAACTGACATAATTTAATTTGCCACATAAACAGAGACTAAACTGGTCATTATATGTGAAAAACAGTGTCTTCTCTAAGTACAGAGCACTCAGGCTTAAGTTTAAAGAATGAATTAACTGAGAATGTAACCAAACCTGTTTAAATCAAGTTGCTAATTTTTAAAAGTCACCTTTAAAAAAATTATATAGAGCAAGTATAATCTTTCTTTGATTCTGATAGCAAACATTCTGATATTTGAGATGTTTAAAAAAGAAAATAAAATAGACTCATAGTATGTAATAAAATCTACAACAGATTACTTCTAAAAATATATAGGTTTACCTCCAAACCACTCAAATTCAAGCCACTAAAAGCCAGACAACATCATACAGTAATATTTTGCATCTGGAACAACAATATTTTTTCACTGACATTAACTGTCCTGCTATGCTTGAATTACTAGTTTATTTTTACTGAAAATATTTTAGCTTAAGTATTACAGATTCATCTCAATTTTCTAGACTTAAGAATAAAACTAAGATCTATTCATTTAAAGCAGGGATGTCAAACTTGAGGCCTGCAGAGCCCTGTTTTGTGTCCAGCAAGGGCCAGGGCAAGTGGGCATGGGGCCTACCACTAACATCTTAGACATGGAGACCTGTTGGTGATGCATGTCAGCAGCAGGGGTCAAGCAAAGGCAGTGGATGCCACTTGTCCCGTTGCCACTGTGTCCAGCATGCAAGGAGTTCTGTGGTCAGGATCTGTCCTCTGGTTTAAAGCAGTCCACCTACCCTGTATGAGTGTATTTCACATTAGTGAATAACCAGAATTATCAATACTATTAAAACTTCTAGTGATAAAAAATGTTCCTATCATATTTTTACAAGAGTCTTCATAAACAGATGAAAACCTTTTTGTCCATGTGCTGTAGAAGAGCTATAGATTCTACTGTTACACAGACCTCTGACCATTGTCCTCCCTGAAAAATGGAAAGGTCACAGCATCAGAGAGACTACTACAGCATTAGGGCTGTGGTAGAACTACATAGGGAAAAGGGATTCTATCATATTCTGCCCCTTAAGAAATTCATGTCAAAACCACATACACTGCTTCACATGGAATTGAAAGCATCCTTTCTGCTGCAGTCAAAAGCAGAATTACTCACAAATGTCAACTGTCTTCCTACTCAAACAGCTAATCTCCCTCAACGGGATGGTAAGGAGATTTAGTTCCTACTTTGTGGATAGGAAATACAGGCATGTCGCATCATACGTGCATTTAACTTGCGCGAATTCATCTATACATGGGTGGGGAGTGGGGGTGGGGCTTGAGTCTGCACACGGCACTGCCACTTACCTGGAGGCCCGGTCACCACCATGCTGCCAGCGGTGACTGCCTCTGCCTCCAAAACCTCCCGCTGCCGCCATGGAGCTGTGCCCGGAGCTGTGTGGCCGGCCGCCGGGCGTGGTGGTGGCCGGGCGGCATGCAGACATCCCCACCACCACCCCGCGTTGCGCTGCTGCTGCCGCCGGCCGCACAGCTCTAAGCATGGCTCCACAGCAGTGGCGGGAGGTTTTGGACGCAGAGGCAGTCACCACTGGCACGGTAATATGTGTTTTCACTATATGCAATTTTTGCCTTATGTGCGGCTTTTAGAACGTAACCTCCGTGTAAGATGCAACATGCCTGTAAATTGCAACAACAAACAGGTCATTCATTCACAATTACACCAAGAAACAAGGAGAAATACGTACATAGGATAATATCTTCCTTTTTGATGGAGATAATTGACTTTCAAGTTCCTCTTGCTGTCGCAACAGAACTTTAAGTTGATTGACTGTGGAACAAAGATAAAACATTAACTAGACATGCCTATTTTTGACTTGGTGCAACTCATAAAATGCATTTGGCCTGCAGTTTTTTTAATCAGTTGCTACTGCATTAACGTTTACCTGCATGGCTGTTCTGTAGTTCCTGCCAAGCTGCATCCCCAGTCTCATCTCGGCCTGCATTACTGGAAGACAGGTAAAACGCTATTTCCCCTTCTCCCATTGCAGGATGGCTTTCCCCCAAGGCATATTTCAGTTGCTGGATGCTTTCACTAGCACGTTCTTCAAACAAAAAACATGGCATTAGGCATCCAAAAAATAAATACTAGATTTATATACTGAAATAGTGTTTTAACTGTATACAGTAAACATAGAACAAAATGAATTCAGGCTTTGTCAATGCAGAGAATTTAATCCAGTGTCAAGCACTGGTTGCTAGCTACCAGCAACTGCTGAATTCAGACTGGCAAAGCTACTGGAAATACCATTTACAGTAGGAGAATTTAACCCAGTTTCAAAGTGGATGTTGTATTAGTGTAAATGGAAGTTACTGTTGATTCCTATCTATGGATTGTTATTCTCTTATTGTAGGCCACTCAAACTTTTGGATAGGGAAGGATATAAATCTAAATAATAACGATCTTGTAAATGTATCATCACAAATAGCCTCATTAAAATTCAACAAGACTTCTCCTAGTAGTAAGAACTATTCTTGATATAGGATGCAGACTTTAGGAATAGCATTTTGGATTTTAATGAGAGCCATAACATGGTATAATACATTCTATGAAACTATGCTTAAAAGTCTTCTTATTCAAAATTAAAACTCAGCAAACTAGTTGTATGGGCATATTCCAGCTGAAGCAGTTCCAGACTGCATATCTAAATTCTTCCAACACTTTCAACAGCATACAATGTTCATATTTACTACTGCTGCTAAACTTACACTATTGCTGTATATAAAAATAGCTGCTGCATTCAGTGGATAGGGATTTTACTTCTCCATACCCATTACCTACTTTACAAATTGTCTGTAAAGTCCTTCAACACGTTCTGATAAGAAACGCAGAACTATAAAACGGGATCTCTAAATACATACTATTTCCACTTACTTCAAGCCAAATATGTGCTTTTTCCAAAACATCTTTGAACAATATGAAAATGTGGCCCAAATTCTATGACTTGTTGAACTGAAGTCAGCGTGGTTCTGCACTGACTCATTAATCCACATATGCAGAGCAGCTAACAGGATGACTCGAGAGCAAAACAGTTCCTGCGTTACAGGCAGAATACACTTCTAGATTTCAACAATGGGTCTAGCAAACCTAAGAACCAAATTCACTTCACCGTCTTCCTCTGGGCTAGGGACAGAAGTTATACATAAACTGGTTTAAGTGATCAGAAGTGATCAAAAACTGGTTTAAACCTGTAACAGAACAGAAATTCAGTGCACATAAACCAATTTCAAAATGCCTGAAACCTGGTTGAATGTAGTATATCACACTTAACTGATTTAGGTCAAATCAGTTTACAGAACTTCTGTTCCAGACTTCTTCCTGGTTTAAGTTAACTGACAGTCCCCCAGCATCCCAGCATGCTTTGCACCCCTGGGCTGGGTTGTCTGCTCCAGCAGAGCAGGGTTGGCCCCACCCCTGTGCTCCCTAGCTAGAGCACTATCACTGCTCCAGCTGACTGAGAAGGTGGTGAAGGTGGGGGTGGGAAACCCTGCGTTGGAGTGCCCCCATCATTGCTCGAGTGGCAGGAGCGGGGAACACGATCAAATGACAGTAGCACGAGGGGAAAGGGGAACATAGCCAGACCCCAGTCCCAAGCCTGAGGTGAAGTGGGGGAGGGAAGGGGGAAATCACAGAAGTGGGGCTGGCACAGACCTCCAGAAGTCCTCTAGTGTAGGGGCAGACAATTATTTTTGCCCATGGGCCACACAGGCAGTTCTGGTGAGCTGCCAGGGGCCAGTCGGCACCCCTTTCCCTTCTCCTCACTCCCGCAACAGCCCAGAGCCCACATGCCACCACCAACAGCATACAACCCCACTTTTCTTGCCAGCCCAGGCAGCAGCAGCTCCTTCCAGCTCTTGCTGCTGCTGGCACCACCCCACCATACTGGGGGGGACCTGCACTCACAACCCTGACCTTGGCCCACCCCACACACACTCTGGACTTGGGTCAGCAGAGCGGACCATCTCCAGACCGGCTGGAACCCACACACGGAGCCCCAGTCTGCCCCATGCCAAGCAGCTGCAGCAGCAGTGGTGGCCAGGCAGAAGCTGCTGCTCAGTGTGGGGAAAAAGCACCTCCTGCCCAGCTCACCACTGCTGGGCCCTTTTGGCTGCAGCTGCCAGGAGCCCATGCCCGGGCTGCCCTGCCACTCCTCTCCACTGCCATTGCTCCAGGGCACCTAGTGGGGCAGTGGTGGCAGCACAGAGGAGCAGCAGGGCGGACCAGATGTGGGCTCTGGGTGGCTACAGCAAGGGTGGTGGCATCACTTTCCCCCCCCATGCCAAGCAGCAGCTTGTGCCCAACCTGCCACTGCTGCTGTCACTGCTCAGTGTGGGCAGGCAAGTCTGGAGCAGGTGTGAGGCAGGCCAGGGTCAGGGCTGTGTGTGTGGGTTTCAGTTGGTCTGCTCCACTGGGCTGACTCCGGGGCAAGCCAGGGTTGGGGCTGCGTATACAGGTCCCCGCCAGTACCATGGGACTGGGGCCCGTGGCAGCAGCAGCCAAAAGGAGCCACTGCTGCCTGGCCTGCCTAGAAAGGCAATCCAGCTATGAAGCTGCCCCAGCCCCACTGCAGGCCCAGGAAGTGGCAGGACCTGCCACTGACCAAATGTCATCTGGGCCAGGCAAGACCGAGGGACCCAACATGGGCAGGACAAAGTCCCTCCATGGGCTGAATCTGGGCCATGGGCCATATTTTCCCACCCCTGCTCTAGTACCTAGTCCAGCCCCTGCCTGAGCCCTGGCCAGACCCTACCCCAGGGGACTCTGTATTGCTGGGGGAAAAAATGTCACCTAGGGCATCTTGCAGTCGGTTTTCCTCCTCAGCCCCCACTGGGACACAGTACTGCACTCCTCCGGCCCTGAGCTAGAGACAGCACTATGCAAATCTCTCCCCCCTGGCCCCACAGCAGGGAGGAGGAGGAGGGGGACAGCCCTGTTCGCTGCAGCAGCTCAGTAACAGGCTGGCCCGGCCTGGGCATGGGGAGCTGAGAACAAACCAAGTGCATAGCTCCTATGGCCCCAGCCCAAGCCTTAGCTGGCTAGGAACGGCCCTGCCCTGTGGCCCGACTCCACCATCTGCCTGCTTCACCCAGGGCTGGGTCTGCAGGGCTGAGCTGGACTAATATTCTAATATTATAAAAGCCTAAGTTTGTCTGTCTGTCATGCTTTATTCGCATTCTGATTGGCTGATGGAAACAGCTTGAGTGCTCCAAGCGTGGGGGAGCACCGCCATGATTCCAAAGCTGCTCCAAGGTTACCAGACAGAGCGCTGCTGGCCTTGGCTCCCCCACTCCAGTCCCTGCAAGAGGCAGAACAGCAGCAGCGTGGGGCATTCGGTGGTGGCACTCCATCCCAGCCCACTTCCCTCCGCCGCCCCCCCGTCATTCTTGATGGGCAATTGGCTAGTGTGCGTGCGTGTGTGTGTGTGTTAATCTAATATATAGACTAATAGAACTAAAGTTTTATTAGCTCTACACTGAGCCATACACACATACAGAGAGAGAGAGAGAGAGAGAGAGAGAGAGAGAGAGAGTGCGCTTTTACACCAAAATATCTCGCTTACAACAAATATCTAAAATTACTTACTAGTGCCACAGCTTTGTAAAAGAGGAAAACAGAGTCACTATTCTGCATATTCTGTTGTAATCATTATTTATGTTGGCTTTTCACATGCACTGATGCAATGACTGAAATTAAAAATATTCATTATTCAGGCTATCAGTAAGCTACCTGTCACAATTAAACTATTTTGCACACATAGCTGATGACTTTGGGACTTTGCAAAATATAGCATTTTGCAGCACAGCTAACTCAACTCTGAATACAAACATGAACTGAAATATTCCCCCCCTTTTTTTTTGTTAATTATAGAGGAGTTTCCCCTATAAATTGTACATCATATAAATTAGACACAGTAAAAGAACTAAATCTAATTAATGAAAAAAGTAATCTTTGAAGTAATGATAAAACTTTTCATTAACATTATTCTATTTAAAAATTGGTAAAAAAATAAAAAACAAACACTGTATTTTGAAAAATCTTAGCCTGGCTTATGCTGAAGTGTATTGCGAGTATTTCAGCTCTGACTGACTCACTTGCTCAAACCATCTACTAAACACCAAACCTATGCAAATCTGGACTAATATAAGAATGGAAGTAGTTTAAGGGTCTTTCTAAATTCCCTGACAACTGTAAATTTATTACATTCAAACTGTGATACCACTTTATGTATGGAAGCCTAATCAGGTATCAGGTTTGAGAATACTAAAGGTACTTTCTTTTCCTCCCCATTAAGATAAGATCTAGTCTTTTTAGTTGGTGGGGCTTTTAAGCTCTCTTCTTTCACTTCTGCCCCATTATTACCCTTTAATCTTAGTTGATTTTGACAAGAGTACACATAAAAGACACTCTTTGTAAATAATATGTAACATAAGTTTACCCAAGTCACTATTATGTAGATTAATTTCTTTTTATAAAAACAAAAAAAAAGAAACTGAGAGATGAACACTCTTCTAACAGCCATTACTGTACTTTTATAGGAATGTGGGAGGAGCAGAAAGAAACTGACCCTCTCACAAACAAATACAAATATATATTAATTAAAGCAGCACTATGTGGAGAGTGCAATCCCACTTCTTCTGGCACATGAGTACCTCCCTTTAGAAGATTAAAATTATTGTCAAAGAAATGAAACGTATGTGGGTATGGGCGAGAGAGAGGGTGAAGGAAACACAGGTGATTTGAATCATATTAACACTGAGAAAGATCATCACTGGGGAACTAGAAGGGAAAGAAAAAGAAAAGAAACCTGGCTCAGAGAAACTTAGGAATCAAAGGTAAAATTTTGTTTGGGGATATTAATACTTTATCTGGGATATTATTAATGCTTTAGCTGGGATACCTTGTACATGAGATTTTCACAAAACCCTATGGATTTTTTTTTTGTTTTGCCTCCACATAATACGGAGGTAGATTACCAAAACTAATCCCAGTTTTCTGGAGTCAGGGGCTCAGCTTTGAATAGTTTGAGAGACAACACACTGCTTTATCTTGAATGCATAAAGTATCTTGTAATATTATAATGCTCAGAATCAAATGATTCAGAATGATAATAGGCAACAGTCCCTAGCAAAACAAACAAACAAACAAAAAACCACGCTAAATTGGCTGGATGTCTGACTTGATGAACAATGCCTTGTCATAGAATGATTGTCATCTGTATCCCAACCATTCTGTTGATTCAGTAAAGGATATCACCCACAAAAATCCTTGACTCGCATGACTCCTGAACCATCATGGATACAATATTACTCAAATGCTCCTTCTAACAAGATGGCCAAAAATAGCATTCAAAGTGTTCAAAGTGCTTTTAAAGTGCTTCAGAAAGTGAGGGTGCAGATGTACTAAGTAGGACAGAGGTGGTCAACCTGCAGCACATATGCCACAGGTAGCACAGACAGCTTCTCTGTGCAGCACACGATAGACCAGCGAGCAGACAGGCAGCAAAAAGGCAGATAGGGCAGGAAGCAGAAAGCTGAGAAGACAAGGGAAGGGGACAGGAGTGGCACTTGGGGAGGGTGTGGGATTAATTTGTGGCATGCCTACCAAAAAAGGTTGGCCCCCACTCTACTAGGCCAATGAAATACTTAAAAAAAGAAAAGAAATAAAGTCTCTGGAAAGAGGGACCTACTGATGTACACTTAAAGAAATGTACTAGCTAGAATTCAGAGGATGCGGCTCAGAGCAGAATTTAGGAGGTTTGTTATGAAAGTGTCCATTTTAAAGTGGGAAATTTTTAAAGTGGGAAATGTAATGTTAGCTCCAGTCAAAAAGTAGTAGCTCAGATAGGTACTTATAGCCTCATTTTGGCTGGCTTCTCAGTGTTCAGATAACCTTTCAAGAGAAGTCAAGAAGCCAATTTCCTTCCTTTTCAATGGGATTTCTTATTATGATGGTAAAAAAAGATTTTAGTTGAAAACTTCAGTTCTATTTTGTATTAGAGATATTCAAATGTTGTGGGTTTCTTAGACTCCATGCTCAGACATTCTGAGATAATATAGTGTTCAAAGTACACTATGAAGAATAGGGAAAAATATCCCTCTGATGCAAGGGTTTATATTTAACAAATCCTGTTGTATCAAGTTACCAAGAGGTGTTTGTTGTCAGTCCAAATATTAAATGGAATGTTGCTTGACAGCAAGAGAATTATTTAATTTCATATACATTATAGACCAAACAGTAGTATCATTTACTGCCATACTGTATGCCTCAAGAGATTTCTCAGCATTTATCCCTCCTGTTATACTCCTTGGTAATATATTTGGGGACAATATCAGTTCCATGAGATAAGATCAGTATACCAGTGCAACTGCACTTTACACTTACTTGGAGGTTATTATGCTAGTATGTTAGTTGTGTTACAAAATAAGGGATCTTGCAGTTGAGACCCAGAGACATGTAATTTGACTGGTCCACTCAAATATTTTTAAATAAAACACTACAGAGGATGAGTTCAGTGAAATTCTGAGGTGAAATTTTGGACTCTTAAAATACAGACTAAAAGTGAAGCTGTTGCAATTTTGCTGCATATTTGTTTTTACATTAAAATTTTCAAATGTCAAGATAAAGCAATAAAGTGTCTCATAAACTTATCAAAGCTGAGTCCCCCAGTTCCAGAAAGATAAAATGTGATTTACTAATCCTTCCTTACTATGTAGTCTTAAAACCTTTTCATGTTAATTTATGCATCTTCTGAACCCAAATTATTCTTTATCCTTGAACAAGGCTAATGTGGATCTTCATATTTTACTTTCTCTCCTTTCATACATGCATTGAGCAATAATATAGTGAAATGCCAAAATGTATTTACATGTAAATTAGTTAGTGGCACCTACTAAAGTGGGATAGTTCAGTCAGAGCTACTGTCATGTTTTCTATAAAAAAAAGTATCGCCCATACATCTTGAAGGTTTTCTTTCAAGACACAATAGACAGATTCCAGGGGACTGGTGTATTTCATTTTTTTTTTTTTTTTTACTTACTTAAAAAGTGAGGGCTCTAGAGAACAATGCAGAAAGCTGTTCACATCCCGCAAGTAACCTTCCCTGCTGTTGTGGGAATGGGCAGGGCCACATCTAACTACATAAAACACTGGAGTTATGCAATATTTTTTTGGATTGTAAAACATCTGGTATTTCGTTGCCAGAATTACTTGAATGGTGACGTTTTCTATGATTCTATGAGTTCCAAGTTCCAATGACTGCTAATATAAGTGAAAAAAGCTTGAGGGCCTGACAAATTGGGAGTCAGGACTGTAAATACCTTTGAGGGTCTAGGCCTGATTGATTTTCTCCTGAAGTTAACAGAAAAGTTCCCATTTACTTCAATGAGAGTTGAATTGGAACCCTAAAAGAGAATAACTAGGTCATCACACATTTCCAGGTGAATGACTAAGTCAAGACATTAATTTCACCCAGCACATCTTATAGAGTGTAACTAAGTATCTTTCTACTGCTTCTGCCAACATAAAAGCCTTAAAATCTGAAGGAAGAAGAGAAAGCATCTCTGGAGAGCACATTAAACAGAACTTGATGGGAATGTGAGAGCTCTTCCTTTAAAATATGGTTATTGTGATAATTTAAAGTAACACAAATGGCCAAATTTGTTTTACTCATGCAATTAGCCTACTAATTGCAGTGCAACTTCTGTATGAGGTAAGGGTTTACAGAATCTAACCCCTACTAAAAATTTTCTTCACGATAAAATTGTTTGTATGTAGAACCATAACTTCTATATGTAAAACTGAGCCTCCTTTTCTCCTCATTTCACATTATAAGCAGCCTGAACAAGCAATTGTAATATATATCTCTGTTATATGATAGGATTATACTGATACTAGCAAACTGCCCGTCAAGAATGAGGGGGATGGGGACAGAGGCCTGCGTCCAGCCACCTGCCCCCTCCCCCCTGCCTCGGGTTGGGGCCAGGGCTCCTCCCTGCCTCCCTCTTGCCACTTGGGGCGGGGGCTGCTCCGCTCCCACACCCCGCACCGCTTCAGGCCGGGGCTGCTCCCCCCCTACTGCTTGGGGCCAGGGCTGGGGCCTGTGACTATGGCAGCAGCAGTTGCAGTGGTGGTCGCGGCAGGGCACAGCCACTAGTCACCCCCCCCTTC